GGAGATGGCTCAGTAGAATAAGCACTTCCCTGGCAAGCACAAGGGCCTGGGTTCAATCCCCGGTTCCACCAAAAAAAAAAAGAAAAGAAAAGAAATCTTTATGAGCTTGATAAACTATTTTGGCCTCATCTTCTGAATTTTTAAAAATGTAATCTGGACTCTTCTAGACATTCATTCTAGTAATTCTTATTTTACTACCAGTAAAAGTAGTTCATAAGCAACATGAACAATTGATTCCACCTATCAGGGCATTGGTTCAACAACATTTTGGGGTGAGTGGTTATGACTGCAGGCCTTTTGGCCTGGCACTTCATAGTACAGGAATATGCACCTATTTAAATAATAAAATTAAATAAAATAGAAAATTTAAAACTTCATTTGTATTAGTAATTAATTAGTATTCAGTAGTAATTAATTAGTGTTCAGTAGAGCAACAGATTACTATAAGATGTGTGTATAGACTTTGCAAGGGTGGCTTCTAATGGCTGCCCGGAAGAGTCAGGAATGGAAGAGAACAAAATGGCTGTCTGTGTGCTGGAGATCTGAGGGTGCAGTCAAAGGCCTGAGCTCACTGTAGTGTCCGCACTATAGTATTCCACACAAGTCCACACCAGGAGGATGAAGGGTCTGCAATGGAAGGCTGAAGCCTGGAGACATTGTCCAAGGCGAAGTGAAGACTAGAACTCCTCTGAAGAACCAGCATCAAAGCTTCCTTTGTTTCCCTTGTATTCCATTCAGGCTACAAGCCTATTGCTTGGTGCTGCTTAGACCCAGGGTGGGTCTTTTATCTTTAGTAACACCCACGATTTTCAGCCATACTCACAACTATGATGACCCAATTTATTTGGGCATTTCTTACTGAAGTTGACTATCAGTTAACTATTGAAAGGTGTCACTTTCAAGTTTCGTTCTTGTGCCTAGTTGACTACCATATTGGATAGGACAACAATGAAATATTTCCATCATTACAAATGTTCCATTGGGCAGCATTGTCTTTAGTATTAGGAATATGTTAAAGAGAAACACACACACACACACACACACACACACACACACACACACATAACCACACACTCCTAAGGGGCCTTGGCTTTGCCTTGTGGAGCTCATATTGGCAATCAACCTTGAAAACATGCTATGTGAATCCCACAGAATAGCAAGGTAAGGAAGATCCACTTTGACAAGGTGGAAATGGGCTCTGTGATTCTAAATGAAGTTTTCAAGGTAGACCTCTCTGTGAAGACTTCTGAACAACAACTCAGGGACTTGGAGGCCAATAGCCACCATTTGTCTGCAAGAGTTTAAGATCATCGTGTAGCCAGGTGGATGTGATCTGACTCAAAGAACTTAGGCCCTCACACTCTCCATGTACAACACAAGATGCATGCACCAAGGTTTGGATAAGCATCCTGCCAAAATCCATATGTTAAAAACTTGGTTCCAGCATAGTGCTCCTGGAAGACAGTAGAACCTTTCAGTGGTACAGACCAGTGGCAGGTGCTTAGGTCTCGTGGGGATGACCTTGAAGGGGACAGAAAGATGAGTCTTTTCCTATCCCTCTCTACCTGGCCATGAGGTAAGAGTTCTGTTCTGCCCTATGTTCCTTCTATAATGTGCTACCCCTACCAGATGCCTGAATCAGTGAGGTTACCTTATCTTGAAATGGAATCTCTCATGATGTCTCAGTTACTCTTCTCTCATTTTGAGAAAAAATACCCAACACCCAAAATTAAGGAAGGGAAGGTTTATTTAGCTCACAGTTAGTGCAGGTTTCAGTCCATACTCGGCTGGCTCCAAGGCAGAGTGGCACAAGGAAGAGGGCAGCTAAAGAGGGAGCAGGAAAAGAGCAAAGAGCGGTACAGCAGCTGCAGCTGCTAGCAAGCCTCTCTTCCCTCCTTACATTGTATGCAGATTATCTGCCCCAGGGCAGGCGTAGCACTCAGACTGATAACTCCAGCATGAATTGATCACAAACACTGAAGCTGCCTCATGATTGCATGAGGCGTTGGGGGGACACCTAGACACAGACCATAACACAGAACAAAGTCAAAATAAATATGTTTGCTTTATAAGTTAATTGAATTGAGTATTTTAGTACAATGACAAAAAGCTGATATAATGTCCACTCATAATGCTATTCTGAGTGTGTCAGGATCAGTGTAGTTTCCAGCATACAGTCAACACCCAGCCTGTGTTAGCTGCCCTCACTTTGGTCATGTGACTGTGACTACTCCTACTCCTAGTGTTCCTCTGCGTCCTCATTTTGGTCACAGCAGAGACGGGATCAAGGGGATAGTCAAGTGCTTGTTTCTGCTGTGGATGAACTCTCTGTCATCCTTCTTACATTTTTTTCTCTTTCTGTAAAACAGCAATAACAATATCCAAATCTACCTTATATTGTGAAATTTAAATTGAGGATTTCAGGAAGTGTTTTTCTGAAAACTGTATAATATTGAGTAATATTACTATCGTCAACTTTCTTTTTCAGTTGCATGGTGGTGGGGTTTACCCATTAGTTCATATCTTAAGAAATGTTCTGATGATGAAATGGACTGAAATTTAAAGAGGAAAAGTGGGAAATGTCTGAGTGTAATTTTCTTAGTCAAATTAAATTCTCTCATTGACAATAAATTATGAATGAAAATCATGATACAAATTTTTCATCTCTTCCAAGTTCATTAGAAATTGTCAAAAGAAAAATATAATTGCAATACATCAGAGCAGGTCTTCTAACAGAACACACTATGTGGAACATTTTCAATTTTTCTTTTTTTCCTGTATTTTAGTACAGGGTCTACAGGGTCTCACTATGTACATCAGACTTATAGGGATTCTCCTGTTTTCAGCCCCCCACATGCTTTGATTACAGGTGCATGACACCACACCCAGTCTTAATCTCTGGCTCAGAGTGCCCCAGGGTTAGGGCCAGCACAGCATGCCAAGGATACAACCCTGGCAGCTGCTCTCTGCTTTTCAATTATTCTAATAAAACAATAAGTTTCAAGCAAATCAACTGACATGCTATGAAATGCGTTCCTGTGGATCTCAATTTGTGTGAGATGGAGTGTGATGTGCTCCGTAGCCAGGCTGGCTTTTGAAATGCCATTTATAGAAGCAGAAGACTTTTTTGCCAGATAAAAGGTAAAAGGAAACTCTAGATTCCAAAACCAGCCTCAGTTTACCACTTCAGGGAAAGCGTCTTTGGTCTTTATTCTTCTAAAGTTTATGATTTTTATCCTAAAAAAGTTTTCATTTTGGTGAATGAGTTTTTGTTTTTAAAACATTAAAGCATTTGACCATTTATTCTAATTTCTTAATTCATAATTCTTTACTGATTCATCAATTAGTACTTGTATTCATTTTGTTTTTCTGACTGATGGGGAAATAGTCTGAATTTGAACTCCTTAAGCTCCCTACTGGTAAGGTCCTAATACTCTCTAAAATCTACCTATGGACATGGGTGGCCTTCTCTGTTTTCTGTGAGTGGAGGCTGAAGTGGGTCCACAGGGCCTCATTATAAGGGCGCTGTTCAGGGGCTCAGCCTGCAAAGGTGCGCATCTCTTAAATACAGCTGGCCCTTGTCCCTCTGTGCATGTCACATTCATCATTCAGGGCAGGAATGTTCAACCTCTGTAACAGTGTTTAAAATTCTCAACACTGGCACCAGTAGAGTAGGAAGTTATACAGGCAAAGATAGACAGATAGAACAGAGATCCTGATGAATGATGCCATGTAATGTAGAAGACTCATACCTCCCCTCTAATTTCATTACTTCAGTTGGCATGTAAGTGAGACCTATAAAGAAAATGACATAAATTTTTACATAAATTGGTGCCTTTTAACTGAGAAGATATTAATAATTGTAAACACTTGAGACGATATGTAGGAACTTCAGCATGTATCTGCATTTCTCCTATATTTAAATGGTAATTTGCCTTACAATTGATAGTGACAACTTTTATTGAAATGATAGACTTGAAGTTTATGAAAGGAGCCATTACTAGAAGATTCCGCCACATTTGTGCAAACCCAGATGTTTCCTGTATTGTTTGATTATCCAGAATGTTCTTCACAGCCTTGCAGTAGGAGCCAAGTAGTCAAGTAAAAAGACTTAGAGCTTTGTATTTTTTTAATTAGCCATACTCTTTTAACTATTGTCTATAACAAGCAATTAAATAGTAATTATGCCAGTCTTGCACTGTGTGCTCAGATAGGTACCAGTGCCGTCTATGACATTCACACCACTCTGGCACTGTAAGCACAGCAGGAACCAAATTCAGAACCAGAGCTTGGTGGTAAAGCCAACAGGTGATACTCTTGCAGTTTTGCTCTTGTAAGCTTCAGACAAAACAGGTATTTTAGCCTTCCCACACTTTTTTTCTTTTTAATACTGGGAATATCATGTCCTTATCAAAGCTGTTAAGAGAATAAAAGAAAAATATCATATGAACATATGTGAAGCATTCTGCCTTATTTATGCACTAATGTGAATGTCCTGGAAAGAAAATCTTGAATCTCACTGATTCCCAAAGTTGTCATCCTTTTAAATAATGAGTGTCTTCATTCCTAAAGCTAATGGCAATATCCAGATCATTCTTGGTTTTCACTGTGTGTAGAAGCACTCCACAACTTCTTTTGATGGCGCATCCAAAGATTTAGCAGTTCATTCAGGTTAGCTTATGTGCCACCCTTGCCCCACAAGCAAAGTTTCCACGGCAATGTGCCCACATTTACACTGCCCCTAGATTACATTTGTTTCCAATCAAGAAAGTTGGCACCTGGACAAGGATCCAAAATCTGCCAGTATTGTCCGAGAGTCTGCCAGTTCCTGTCAAGAAAATAGCCACTTCAATAAGTTTCCCAGTTGCCTTCTGAATGTGCCCGACAACATTCTAAAAATCAGTGTGCCCTGCCAATGTTCTGCTTCTCTTGGGATGCCGAGGTATGACTTTGAGTAATAAATCATGTCTGCTTCCTTTTTTGTAAGATGCATGAAAACATTCCTTTCCATTTGTCATTTTAGGAGACATTCTCAAGGAATTAATGAAATGCTGGGCGTTTTCTCCTGGCACTCTCGGGGCAGCAATGCCGTGATGGTTAGCAGACATCAGTCTATCGAAACTTTCTAGTGTCACAAACCTCTCAGGCATTGATTGTAGTTTGGTCACTTTGGTGAGGATCACAGCTGTCAGTCTCAAATCCCAGATTTGATGTCTCTGTTTATTGTGGAAGGGAAAAGGGGCAAAGGAGGGGAGGATATTGCTTGTAAGCCTGCACATAAATCTATAAGGTTTTAATAACATGTTTATTCCTGAGTTTATATTATTGCAGTCTTTGTGACAAAGATGAATTCTCTGGGCTGCCCTAGAGAGGTACGTGCATTACCCACCCCGGAGCTGAAGCTGTGTTTGTCTGTCCTTTTGCATTTTCCATAAGTGTGATAAGTGAGTGGCAGGATGAAGGCGGTCAGCTGTCAAGTGTCTGTGTGATGTTGGTGTGAATATAAAACTGGGATTATTAGTGCTATGTCTAGGTTCCTCCTGTTCTTCAACTCAAAAGACCCTTGAGGATGACATTTACCCTAAAGAAATGGTAGCTTCTTCTGCTCCAGGATAGGCACCAGTTTTCAAAAATTCCAGCTTGTAAATTTTGTTTGGAAATGAGAAGATCCCAAAAGTTAGGTTGTATGTTAACTGTATTGGCTTATTTTTTTTTTATAAAATAGCAGTAAAAGTTGTTAAATGTGAATATCAGTGATTTTCAGAGTATCAAATCTGAATATTATTCTTGGAGTTGAACTGCGTTTCTCTTGTTGGCTATTAAACATAATTTAATCTGTGTTTGGACCTCAAACCAACTGCAGTCTTTAGGATGCTCATTACTCGTCCAGACCACAAGAGGGCACCTTAGAACTCTGAGATCCGAAACTATGCTCTCCTGTCTTAGATTATCCAGAAAGGGAACCTAGAGGAGAGAAACTGCCCCTCAGCATCCTCTTTAGTCCTGTTAAGCTCTTTATTGTGGACCAGAAGACCAAGTTTCATAGCACGTTACCCACCCAGAGCATTGGGAGCCAAATGTGTATTAGAAAGGTTTATAGGTGCTAGTAAAATAAAACTCATTTGTAGGCATACAGTTCCAGTGCTCAGAATAAATGGCTGTAGGGTTAAATTTTATAAAGTATTAGACTTGTCTGTGTTGGTACTGGTTCCAGAATCCACTACTGCCTCATCCCTCCATGTCTTTAAAATCTTCTATATAATGAAAGTGAAGAGTTATTTGAACATAGATTTAGGATCATCTAATTAGAAAATTCAAAAAAGTATGACTGTATTAAGGTATGCTATAAGACAAGTGTTCTATATTCAGTTGTTCTTTTTTTTTTTTTTTTTGAGACAGGGTCTCACAGGTCTCATAGTGTGTTCAGGCTGGCCTTGAACCCACTATTTAACCCAGGCTGGCTTCGAATTTATGATGATCCTCCTGCTTCAGCTTCTGAGCACACCATTATGCCTGGCCCTACATATTTTTTAAGCAGTATTCATCCTTTCCTCCTAGTTTATGGAAGTCTGACCAAGATTTTCCAGAACCTTGCTCACTTATCCTCAGCATGTTCTGAGACCGTGGAATGCAGACTTAATGGCTGCAGTTCTTGATGACACAGGGCTGAGTACCTGTGATAGGTCCTTGCCCCTTGGCAGCGATTCTTCTGGCCTTCAGTTTTAAGTTAGAAAGTGCTGAGGATATAACAAGAGCAGGGGAAGGTTCTAATGTAGACTTCAGTTACAAGCTCAGGTTACATGGATGCTTCACAACTGATCTTGTAAATGCCTTATGGAATGCACAGACCTCCCACGTATGTGACGGTCATAACAGCCCCTTCTCGCGTACACCTGTCCTCTTAGGCACATGCTGAACAGGAACAGAAGAAAGTCTTAGACTTATTTGTATTTTTCAAGTGAGATAATTGCAGATTTTACTGAGTAACATTAATTGGTTTTGGTTAAGTTGCTTTTTACTTACATTAACTTATTTAATTTTCAAACTAACCCGAAGAGGTGGTTACTAATCCTAACTCTATGTATGTGAGGAAACAGTGTTGGGTAACTTGCCCCTCACCATGCAGCTCATAGGTGCGAAAGCAAAGGAGTAACTCTAGCAGCAACCCCGGAACTTGTGTTTTTAATTACTTGAAAAATAGTATGTTAGTGTAAATTTAACTACAATCTTGACTTTCCCTTCACTTGGGGAAGCCAGAGTTTAATTTTCCCATCACTGTATAGTGAAAGACACCCTGAACTAGTGTCAGTAGATGTGTCATGTAACTCTGACTCTGATCCTAGCCAACAATCAACTTCTGAACTGTCTTTTAAGTCCTCAGGGCTTCTAATTTTTAGTGATTTGTCAAGAGATAAACTTTAATTTGAAGAATTTCAAGGATATGGTCGTTCAGCTTTGCAGATGAGGATGCTCGAAATCCACCAATTTTCATTTTATCTTACTCCTTAGAAACCACATAAGCATAGGAATCACACATGAACCGACATGTCGGCACTCAGAGCCAACCCAATTTGATAGATCAAGCTGCCTTAAACCATCAGCAGCATGCTGTTCAGATCATAGGTACCCAGGTTCAGAGAATAATTCCGATTTTCATAATCTTCCAGTCTTTGGAGACATATTTTTAGATTCTTTATTCATTGGGGTGGAGGAAGGACTGGAAATACGGGAAAACTACAGTGGAAATTGGAAACCAGAGATTTTGTGTTAAGATGAACTAGTTAGCAATTCTGACCTTAATTTCCATAACTAACATAGCATCTGGAATACAAATTTTAAAATAACCTTTCCAGGTGCAACATATTAGAAATTATCTGCACATTTTAAAGCTGAATGTATGAGTAGAGTGAAGCAATGAATTCGAGCCTTGCCTCGTCAGTGAGTGACGCGGCTGGCAACCAGTGCTTCTTCCTTAGACGATGAAGTATTTTCCCATTGGAATTATCTTTATTTGACAAAGGCAGTGGCAGCTGTCTGTGGTGGCCCAGCCTGCACCACTCTTCCTCCATCACTTGGCAGTGTCCAGGGTGCAGAAGGCGAGAGAGAGTTCAGGTTACACCAGACAACGTAGCCCTCTTACCTCCTAGGAGAGCCTGCTCTGACCCAGTAGTATGGCCACCGGACTTGCAATTTTTTGATAAAATACCTTTGACCCAGCACTTGATTTCCTTTAGGCCTGACTTGATTTCTCTCCAGCTGAGGCTAATTTGCATGGCTGTAAACACGGCCTTACAAAGCTCACCAACTGTGATAAAAGCAAAGGAAACCTGAGACTACGAGAAACTCCGAATCAGCCTTTGGTGTCCAGGGCAGACTGAGTCAGCTCCGGCCCAGGAAGCTGCCAGTGTGTGGCAGCTAAAGAAATGTTATTCTGATTGATCTGATTAGGCCAGCAAGGTTATCCATGGTCAATTTACAAAGACAGTATGAGAAGAAATCATGTGAACAGCGGTGTTACGGGTCAGCGAGGCCCCTGCCAGAAGTTACGAAAAGTCGCTGCTCCGCCAGGACTGGTATCAGATCTCCTCTGTGGGACACAAATGAGACTGGAGTGTCAGGGCCTCCACTGGAGTGAGCGACAGCCCGCGGACCTGGGCTAGGGAGAGCTGTTCTCCAGCTGGATTCCCTAGCTGCCAGGCCCATTCCATGTGGCGGGAGGAGCCTGGTGCTCCCCAGGGCCTCCCCGAGGAAGACTGGTTCAGGTCCTCACTGCAGTGGAAAGAAGGTGCAAGAGCTAACTTGGTGTGGACAGGAGGCTCTACTTTAACCCACAGAAGTAGCCAGATGGAACCTATTGGGCATTTTGATCCCTTCCTTCGCTACAAATGTGGTTTAATTGGGATCTGGCTCCAGGCTCTGGTTACTAAATAACCTGAGTTTTAGTGTTTTCATTTTCATTAATTAACTTTTATGCTAGGTACCTTATTAGTCACACTGAGGCATTTTGCATGCACCAAGTATCCTAGGACAGTGGTGGCGAACCTTTTAGAACTTTCAGTGGTAACAAACATCTGGCTGTGACACACCTGCCACAGGTCACCACCATGGTCCTAGGAAGCAAGAAAGGGGTCTTTAAAAGTAGTAGGAAGCTGCAAGTACCAGGGGGCTAATTCATTACCTAATTATCACATCACTTTTTACTCTATTGTAGACTCTCTAACCAACTTCCTTGGTTTAAGAGAAACACAAAAACAAATTTCTAAGGTTTACTCTCAGATGTTCCTTGCATTCTTATTTTGAAGATTTTTAAATCTCTCACTTTGGATATGGTTCTCTTTTTCCCTGTCCAACTCAGAACATAAATGTTATTTGCCACACTGAACTAAGGCACACTAATTAGCAAAGAAAGACTTATTTAAAATGAAGCCAATGGAAGGCCACGTTGCTAGAGCTGTGGCTTGTTATAAATAAATCATGCTGTACTCTAATCACCCTCCTAATGGAAAAAATGAAAAGCTGAGATGGTTGCTTAGAGAAGAATGGGATTCAGAACATAATGGCAAAGTTCTCCAAAGCATACCACGTCTAGAGTGCTTTAGTAAAATATAGAGAAGCTGGGTCCCCTGACATTCCAAAAGACCCCAAAACTCAGTCCCGTTGGGGTGCCATGTTCAGTCCTCACCTGTGGAATCCACGTGCTCTGAGATCAAAGCACACGGAAAAGGTGGTGGTGACTCGCCGCCTAGCAGCTGAAGTCTTGGTGTGGATCTCAGAAAATGGAGCAAGGGATGGCTCTGAAACAGCAGCCGGACTCAGAGTTCCAGCTGTCCACTGCCTCCAGCAACTGCACTGCAACTTGGCCAGGCATGCAAGGTGAGAGTCCAAGCCCAGAGGGACAGCAGGCATCCTTTTGTCTGTGGGGCAAATCCCTCTGTCTTCCTAGGGCCCCTTGCTCCCAGCCCCTCATGTGTGCCTACTTCATTTTTTAAAGAGAGTTTTTTAAAAAGTGAAAAGGGGGTGTAAATATCTCCAGGGATTAATGTGCCTTCTTAGGCAGGGGCTGGGGGTTTGATTCTCAAGCCTGTAGCACCGCCCT